AATGGGTGGAAGGTGCAAAACAAGGCATTGTCGTGGCTGGTGGTCAAGGACAAGGAAATGGTCTTACACAATTGTCATATCCTCGAGGAGTCGTTGTCGATCAATTGGGCACTGTCTATGTGGCTGAAGAAGGGAATGATCGAATAATGCGTTGGCCCAAAGGAGCCACACAGGGAAGTGTCATTGTTGGTGGGAACGGTGGAGGAGGACAATTGAACCAACTCTATTGGCCCATCGGTTTGTCATTCGATCGACACGGTAATCTCTGTGTCATCGATAACGGAAATCATCGAGTACAAAAATTCAATATTGATTCAAATACATAATGGATGTTTCGAGTAGATCTTGATTATACATGTTTTTTTCTTGAGAACGATCCTTCGAATAAACTGTCGTGTGGGTGCAGGTATAGGATATGTCACTGAAGAGTTTAAAAGTGTATGATTTATAAATATTTATAAGTCCAACCATTTATAATTATTTTAACTTTTACTAAGAAATTTAAAATAGTTATAAATAGTTCGATTTAGTTCGAGATTTATAAATCGGGTTGAGATTTATAAATGAACGTCGGCAGATTGCAGCTTTTTTATTCAGTCCATCTTTTATAACTCAATTTAGAAGAAAATTATATCCTTTTTGCATAAAATTACACATATTTGCAAAACAGCTAAATAAGAAGAAAAGAATGACTATATTGTTGTAACAAGTAGAGGGTGAAGAATATCATCAATGTTGTAATCGTCATTATGACCGTCATCATCGGTTGCTTCTGTTGGAGTACTTTCATCACCTTCACTACCATTGCTGTCTTCTTCTGCCAGACCAACATCAGCAAACACTTTTGTCAATTCTCGATCGTCATAGTTGATCATTGTTGTTAAATCTAATAAATCTTTATCTTCAACATTTTGTTCTTCAATTACATCGGTACCAGCTAATTCACATAAAATTCGTTGATTCTCATCGACTGTTTGCATAAATGTTTCTAAACTGTTTGATAAAACATTTGTGGTTATAACTGGACTTTTTTCTGTTGTAATCTCAACCCGATTTATAAATCTCAACCCGATTTATAAATCTCAACCCGATTTATAAATCTCAACCCGATTTATAAATCTCAACCCGATTTATAAATCTCAACCCGATTTATAAATCTCAACCCGATTTATAAATCTCAACCCGATTTATAAATCTCAACCCGATTTATAAATCTCAACCCGATTTATAAATCTCAACCCGATTTATAAATCTCAACCCGATTTATAAATCTCAACCCGATTTATAAATCTCAACCCGATTTATAAATC